TCTTAACCCTTGTTTTAACCCTTTGAACGCCGCAGATTGATGTCAGGGACGTCAACGTGGTAATAAAGGAATATATTTTACACTTAAATATGTACCACCTTTGCTTGCGGTACACGCAAGTACTTTGTTATTTGTCAACAATGTATTTTGGAAGCCTACCCATGATCATATTTCGTAGAGCACTTTTTAAGATTTTGTTTTTAATTTCGCGCGGATGGAGTCGCGGGCGACAGCTAGTATGGTTATAAGGATAGAGGTAAAAAGTTTCATCCGTCTGTCAATGTGCGGAAGAGATATACAGACAAAATGTATTTCAATTTCCTGTTTGTCCCCATCCATGTCAATCCTTTTTCTATTCTTCCCAAATTGTAAAAAGGTAGGAAAGCGATGAAGAGTGTACCGCATTTCGATCGAAACCTTAAACGATAGACAGCAAAGAAATTACAATTTTCACTAAAATTTATACCAAAATATTTCTGTCAAAATGTGTCTACATAATTTACGTTTTGAATCTAAATTCTATACGAAACTATGATTCAGATTCGATTCGTTCTCGGTAGTAAAAACACACGGTTACAAAAATTTGTTTTTGCAGTATTAAACGAAATGAAGTTTAAAAACCAGTGAGTTGACGCAAATTTTAAAAAGGTCACGGTACTGCGTCGAAAACTGCTAATTTTATTACAGCGTATATAATGTTATTACGATAGAATTTGACTACGGTTACATAAATGTCGGCTCGTGTAACAATTTGTTGAACGATTTTGGCTAATGATTGATCATACAATTAGTCTTAGCTTCTTAGTGCATTAAATATAAGTAAACATTTTTACATCTATGTCTCACTTTAAGTATTGTAAATATCTGTTCATTTGTTTACGCACGCAGACTTTATTGGGAGGAATTTCCTTCTTACGATACTTCAGTTTATTACACGTAAGTTTAAGTAGATAAATTCTAAACTTACTGTTTACCAAACAGTTTTAGTTTGGAAATTTCTTCGGTTTGTTTAAGTAGAAGATTATATGTTTTTCAGCATTAGAAATCGATAAGTAAATTCAAAAGCGATGTACAGTTCCGTGTAGCTTTAGCTTAACAAGGTGAAGTGAAAATCAATATCGAAATAATAGAATTGTGAAATCCGCTACGAAAGCTCACAGCGGGATGGCGCAGAGGAAGCGTGCTGGGCCCATAACCCAGAGGTCCGTGGATCGAAACCATGTCCCGCTAAACACCTTTTTGTTTTTCAACAAAAAAAAATTACAATTTTTTTACTTTGATTATTATTTTGAAATGTTCAAAATTACAATAGTACAAAAAATTTATAACGTTTTAAATTTTCTAGTTATAGTTTTTTTTTTGTCTAAAACCTTACTATTAATAAAACATAAGCAATCTTCGCTTAGCAAATATCTTATTATATCATATTTCAAACTAATATTATAAATGCGAATGTTTAGATGGATGGATGTTTGTTTGAAGGTATCTCCATAACGACCTAAACACATTCTGATGACATTTGGCACAGATGTAGAACATAGTCTGGAAAAACACGTAGGCTACTAATTAAGTTTTTTTTTTAATTCCGCGCGGACGTAGTCGCGGGCGTTACCTAGTAAGTCAATATAACTTGGATTTCGTAGCACTGCAACGTATTTTCGTAGCAAGATGGTAGCAGTTATGCACGCTGCATTCATAACAAAGTTTTATAGACAATATTCACGCTAGTCTATTTTGAAGTTTCTGTTTTAATATTCATATAACTTTTATATTATATAACTTTCAACTACTTTTAAATAATAAATAATGAATTTTAGACGCAACCTAAAGCAATTTAAAGAAATGCACCAAAAGACGAAGAAGTAATGTTTTGGGCAGACAAATATATAAGAAAAGAAAATGCATTTTCATGTGAATTGAGTTAGTTGCGAAATAAAACATGTTAAGATTTTAGATGACATTTTTATCACTTTTAGAAATAAAATAGACTGCAGATAGAAAGATAAATGAAAATCAGTAATAGTGTCATGCACGAGTCGAAATCGTGAAAAGCATGCGGATTTCTTGTTTGTGAACAAAAAAATCGTACAATTTTTTTTTATCTTTAATGTATTGAAGTTGATTCAGATACATTTAAGTTTATTTGACCTTTGTGAAGGGCGAGCGTACCGTAGCTGTTTGTTACGTAACATTACATTGCGGGGTGAATTGCTAATGAAAGCACTGTGGTTTTTGCTGAAACGAAATTTATTTTTTTTGGCTTTAGTCGCTTTTATTTCGTTTTCAAGCAGAATAATAAACAGTAACATGATGATCAGTTACATGATGATCAATGGACTACGATTAATTTTACCAACTTGATAAGAATTGACGTTGTTATAACTAGGAGTATTTTAGATTTGGAAGCGAATATCCGAGAATCCAATCCATTCAATTTCAAACGTACACCGCGTACAACATACACAGCTGATTTAATACTTCTTAGTAATATTATTAATTCATTCATCACCTAACTTTACGTCAACACTGCGGGGCTTGGAGCCTACCTTAAATTACAGGTGACTACATAGTCAACCATCATGGCACGTCCGGATAGGTTGACTTCACACATATCTTTGAATCCCTTCTCAGATATATGCATATTGCATCATGATGTTTTCCTTCATCGTATATTATTTAGTATGTCTTACTAAAGTGTCGTATTAAGAAATAATGTGTTACAACGCCTGAAAAAGGCATAAATGTGCAAATAAATAAATAAAAGTTAAAAATAATTCGTCATGTTTGACGCCCATGAAAACCAGCATCTAAATATTAGTTCTTAGCTTCTCATGGAATGGAATTAAAGAAAACCACAAAAATCATGTTGTTTTATTCGTAGATTTATAACTATAATAATAATAATAATGATTTATTTAAACTAAAGTACGCATAAAAATATACATCAGTTGTTGGAGCATCCTTTTAAGTATATAATACCTGTGACAGAATGCTCCGTTCTTCCGTACCATACATTTATATTTTTATTTTTACAATATGATATACCTTACAAATAAACAAAAAGAAATGACAAGCAATTTGGGTAGTTAGAAAGAAAACACTATTCATTGAAACATGTTGTTTTATTATTACTTACTCTTATTTTCTTCAAGTAATTAATTAGATAAATAAACAGAATTTGCCATTTGTTATCAAACACGTATACTAAACATGTATCACTTTATACAACTTCTCGTATATAATTTTTATAAAAACTAACTACAACGATGATAAATATTTTATTTAGGCGTCAATGAACCTATTATGACGTTGATATGCCAGAGGTATATAAGCTGCGGAGCTATTTTTGCTTCACAGTTCTAACTCTGCGTCCATGAGTGGCAGTTCCTTTACCCAGTGTAATAATTGTGAAATTAAATAATTTAGCTGAAACGCAGAGGTGAGCTACTTTTTATTATTGTTCTGTTTTTAAATTATGTGTTGTTATGACCAAGGTTATCGTTACGGGTCACCGATGTTCCGTCAATTGCCAATAAACACGTAACATATTCGCATTTCTATTGATAATCTTTTTTTTGTCTCATTTTTAGATGAAACTTAATCATAAGTACTTTGTGGTTGAATTTTTGGAGAAGCCTTACAGTACTGTTGATCCAGTGGTTTGCGTCCCGTTTAAATGGATAAAATTAGCCAAGAAGACAAATGATATAGTTTCCGTAGCATATCCAGCTGAGCATTCCGTCTCTACTAACACAATGGTTCGAAATATTTGTCCACAGCAAGAAAACTGGCGTTATTATAAAGTACAAACAAAATGTGGAAAACGTGAGTACACTTTTATTACTTAACGATAACGTGATTGTTAATGTAGTTTCTAATGTAATTGAGTTGACTAATAAATTAGGCTATTAAACATTATTTAGAACACTACATAATATGTCCATTTTATTACGACTTTGTGGAATTAAAGCTTGCGCTTAATGTGATGCTATTGGTACAGTACAGTAGTAATACATATTTGTTATTTTACTCGATGCTGTAAACGTCTTTTTGATATCATTCTCGCTATTTTGCAATTGAGTTTGGTAGTATTGATTTTTTACATTTTACATATTGCCCTTCTATATTTAATAAATGCTTTATTCGCGAGGTCACCATCAGGTTTAAGTTTGGTTATTTTAAGTAATTTTTTCGATAGAGAGGTATGGAAGAAACTAGGGTAGGCCTATGTGAAAAGGACAACAAAGGGCAATAAATTGTACATACATGTAAGTTTAATATGTATAATATTATTCGAAAATAAAACGCTAATAATGTAAAAGTATATTTTATTATTGTCAGTGAATAAAGGCTTTATATATCTATCTATTTTATGTAATTTGTTCCTTTGGCAAATTGATGTAATAACTCCTATGGTGATCCAGTGCTTGAGCAGTGCTATCTTTGCCTTATCTGGGTGCACTCTATAATAACATGTTTAATGGTATTCATCTCAAATTTAACTTAAAATATTATTTAAAGACATTAAGTATTGCTGAGGATAAGCCAAGCAAAGTGATACGAGCAAATAATCGAATATTTATAGTCAATATTAAGTACAAGACAATAACCCTCCATTTGATTCGTGGTTGAGGACGGTTAGGTTTTTACGTACATAGACTACAATAGCGTCGTTTTGATATAGTGTTATTAATAATACGGAGGTTATCGGAGTTGTGTCGACATTTAAATAACTGTGAGTACTGCGATAAGTCATCGACTAAATTTCAATTATTCATGTTATTGTCTAAGTCAGATGTAATTGATGAAATCGATTTAAATACATTCATTTTAATATAATATAGTTTTCACAGTTACGTATATTTGCCTGAAATTTTTGTGCAGGCGTTTACAGCATCGAGTAAAATAACAAATATGTATTACTACTGTACTGTACCAATAGCATCACATCAAGCGCAAGCTTTAATTCCACAAAGGCGTAATAAAATGGACATATTATGTAGTGTTCTAAATAATGTTTAATAGTCTAATTTATTAGTCAACTCAATTACATTAGAAACTACATTAACAATCACGTTAAGTAATAAAAGTGTACTCACGTTTTCCACATTTTGTTTGAACTTTATAATAACGTCAGTTTTCTTGCTGTGGACAAATATTTCGAACCATTGTTTTAGTAGAGACGGAATGCTCAGCTGGATATGCTACGGAAACTATATCATTTGTCTTCTTGGCTAATTTTATCCATTTAAACGGGACGCAAACCACTGGATCAACAGTACTGTAAGGCTTCTCCAAAAATTCAACCACAAAGTACTTATGATTAAGTTTCATCTAAAAATGAGACAAAAAAAAGATTATCAATAGAAATGCGAATATGTTACGTGTTTATTGGCAATTGACGGAACATCGGTGACCCGTAACGATAACCTTGGTGATAACAACACATAATTTAAAAACAGAACAATAATAAAAAGTAGCTCACCTCTGCGTTTCAGCTAAATTATTCTAATATTTAATAATAATTTTATTATCAACATAACATTTAATATTGTAAAGAAACTACATTTTTAATTTCACAATAATTACACTGGGTAAAGGAACTGCCACTCATGGACGCAGAGTTAGAACTGTGAAGCAAAAATAGCTCCGCAGCTTATATACCTCTGGCATATCAACGTCGTAATAGGTTCATTGACGCCTAAATAAAATATTTATCATCGTTGTAGTTAGTTTTTATAAAAATTATATACGAGAAGTTGTATAAAGGTGATACATGTTTAGTATACGTGTTTGATAACAAATGGCAAATTCTGTTTATTTATCTAATTAATTACTTGAAGAAAATAAGAGTAAGTAATAATAAAACAACATGTTTCAATGAATAGTGTTCTCTTTCTAACTACCCAAATTGCTTGTCATTTCTTTTTGTTTATTTGTAAGGTATATCATATTGTAAAAATAAAAATGTATGGTACGGAAGAACGGAGCATTCTGTCACAGGTATTATATACTTAAAAGGATGCTCCAACAACTGATGTATATTTTTATGCGTACTTTAGTTTAAATAAATCATTATTATTATTACGAATACATAGGCTACTAATAATGTTTTTTTTTATAATACCGCGCGGACTAAGTCGCGGACGACAGCTAATCTTAATAATATTATAAATGCGAATGTTAGAATGGATGTTTGTATGATGATATCTCCGGAACTGCTGAACGGATTTTGATGAAATTTTGCACACATGTAGAACATAGACTGGAGAACATATAGGCGTGTAGTAATGATTTATTTTAAATCCGGGCGGAAGGAGTCGCGTACAACAGCTAGTACTTTTACTTTATATAAAGGTGCTATCTTCTCGTAACTGTATAACGAAATGTGAAATCTCAAGAACAAATAAATCAAAATACTTGTTAACTTTTGATTTATAATCTTTAACAGTGGTAGCTTTTATCGTGTTACAATTTACCCTGACTCAAGGTACAAATAATGTTATAAATAATTTATTTCCTAACTTTTGGATTGCTAGTTAGTTTTCGTGTTTTGACTTAAATAAAAGTATGCGAAAAAAAATATAGCAGCAGAAGAATGGTATACTTCTTATGAATTACAGTTATAATGATATTAAAAAAACTATTACCTTGACTTAAATCAGCTTGTCGTAATTAAAAAAGTAAAAAAAAATTAAAACTTATTTCTGTATGCTCAATTAATAGAGTAATTACGTAGATAAACTATTGCTACTATTTTATAATAATTTCCAAAACCTTAAACTACTATCTAAATAAACCTCTGTATACGTTATGTACACCAATATTCACATATGTATAAGGACTCATCATCATCAGCTCATACGTCCCCACCGAGGGGCTCGGAGCCTACTCTAAGTTAGGGGTGACTAGGCCATAGTCAACCACGCTGGCCCAGTGCCGGTTGGTTGACTTCACACATATCTTTGAATTTCTTCTCAGATATGTGTAGGTTGCATTACGATGTTTTTCCTCACAGTAAGAACATCGGATAAATGTACATATGTAAATCGGAAATCGAAAAACACATTGGTACATGGCGGGATTCGAACCCACGACCTGCAGATTGCAAGTCAACTGCTAGATACCTGAGCCACCGACGCTCTATATGTATAAGGTCTAATACTATTTAATTGATAAGTTGTATGTGTGTTATATATATGTTGTGGTTGTGCTTAAATAAATAAATAAATAGTAATATTAAAAGATAGAATTGGAATGTAATATAATATTTTTATGTGATTATTGTTGACGAAATGGCGTTAATGTGGTTGTAATCTTGCTTTGTATTATATGGAGAGGATTTACATTAGTGAATAGGATTATTATTATCGTACTACAAAGTTTTATTGTATTGTATATATGACCAGTTATTTTAACATATTTAATCTTTAATAACATATACTTTACTCGTAAATTGACATATGTTAGACATAATTATACAGCGTGTCCCAAAATTCAACAATAAAACTGTAATGGTATACAGCCAGATCGATAACTACACGGGGAAAAATACTAAAAAAAAATCCAATTCTTTTTTTTTAAGTTGTATTAACTTTTGTAACTTTTCTTATAATTTGATACCCTCCACCATGTGATTAGACACTGTGGCTACAAGATATTATATATTATTGTAATATGAGACGATAATAAATTAGTAATTTAGATTTAATGTACTCAATATACCAAAAACAGCGATGGATTAAGTGTTGATCAATAAAAAGCAAATCTATATACATAATAAAAATGTTGGATTTTATAAATAAAGTGGTATGTAATACTACTGCCGAAGTAGCGCGTGACCGCAATTTTTTATATGCATCTATAGTGCTACGGCGTAGCACTTACGTAACTCGGGCTACAAATTTAATTATCACACTATAGTTTTAAATTTTCAGTGAGTAATTTTAAATTAAACTACCATTAATTGGGGGTTGGTTATATTATTTTTACATCATGATTTTTATTCAATAATCCATTTTATTCGTAATAATAGTTTAGTTTCTTTTGTTATAACTCAATAGCATCTGTAAATAAATACAGTCGAAACTAAATAAGCGAAAAACTCGGGTTAGGACCTTTAGAGTTTTGCGTAGGCGAGAAAAATATCATTGTCCCTTGGATTCTCACTTATATACGTTCGTACTGTTTTTAATAAAAAAAATGGGAAAAAGTTGGTATTAGCGGAGCGTGGTTTCGATCCACGGACCTCTGGGTTATGGGCCCAGCACGCTTCCTCTGCGCCACCCCGCTGTGAGCTTTCATAATCAATTTTCCAATCGCATTCCTACGTTATTGATTAAATCTCGTCCACGTAGCGTACTGTTTTACCCTAGTAGGCGGTATTGGGTAAAACAGACATTTACAGAGCGCGAATATTTAGTAGTTTAAAATACTTTTTTTAATTGTGTATTGCATGAGTACTATGTGAATAAATTTATTCCTACAACCTTATTACAATATCCGGTAAAAAATTATAGCATAGTTTACGTAGCACTTGTATAGCGTAGCATTTACATTTGCTTAATAGATTTTTATATTATTGATGTTGTCAATGTTATTTGATGCAAAAATCTCTTAACTATTATAAGTTATAGCCAATAATTTGTAAATACTGGTTGAGTAAAGTATTGCTATTGGAAAAAAAATTATGTTCATATTTTCTGCTTACATGTAAGTTACATTTTAAAATGTGTTACTACATTTTGTTTTAATATTTAACACGAAGATATATAAAATTTAAAAGGAATATTTTATTTTTCACTTGAAACGGGGAAACTGAAAATTTGTATATTGGAAAAAGTATTTTACGTTGAATTTATATTATATTTTCGATATTTAAATTAAACTAGAAGCAGTAATGTAAATTGAATAATAAGAAGTGAAGAGACTATGAAATTCTCGTGAGTCGATTCAATATATTCAATTTATATTATTGTATTTCCTGAGTTTATTTCGCAGAGAGTGAAGCTCTCAAGGAAATTACCTGCCAATCTAAGGTTTGTCTAATTTCCTTTTATTACGTTTTGAAGCTTTTTTTACTGTATTGAGAAAAATAAAAGCTGTTGTAAGATTGCATTTTATTAGGCAAAATAAATGGATTTAATTTAAATATTTGTTGTATTTACTGTGACAAGATTTTGATTGTTTATATATAACATTATTCTTATTTTAATTAAAAAATAATTGTGTTGAAATTTTCAAATTTGTATTACTGAGCTTTTAAAAGCTACCGTCAGAAAGCGCTTTTCTCTTGAACGTTACTTTGTTAAGTAATTATGTTGTCATGTACACAGATGGCGCATAAAATAATTTATTACTTAACGTGTTAATAAAGTTATATTTTTGGTAGCTTAATTTAAATTTATTGTGAATATGATATCCACTAGACATTTGTTAACTAAAAGAAAAGATTTTGGAACATATTATATTTCTACGGATCTATAATTATGCTAAATTGAAATTGAAACATGTGTTGGTGGCGTAAAAATATATTTTATAACTTAGTGTGATTAACAAGAGTGTTGTTAGTAATTTTTAAAGCTTTTGTTCAAAATATGCTTTTGCGTAGAAAGTCTATAAAGGATCGGGTGAGCAATTTATGGCTACCTGCTCCTGTATTTTTGAAGTGTACTTGAAATAACGTAAGAGTCTATAGAGGTAGAGTATGTATTTTAACCGGTCTTTGTAATATGCGGTTACTTAACAATGCGATGAATAAGTAAAATATATGAACTAGCTGTCGCCCGTATCTGTATTTCCGTACAAACGTTTCAATTCGTAATTTATTTGAATCATAAAAATTATGGGAACTCTTTTTAATTTTTAAAATAAATAACAAAATTTGTCTTCTACAAAAAGCTTGCAAACATTCGTAACGTATGTAAGGTTTAAAAATTTGCAAAAAAATAAATTTATTATTTAAATTTATGATTAAAATTACAAAAGTATAGCGGGACGTGGTTTCGATCCACGGACCTCCGGGTTATGGGCCCAGCACGCTTCCTCTGCGCCACCCCGCTACGAGGCCACGTAGCAAAATAAGCTACACTATCTCGTAGCACGATCACATTTTTAATGAAAACACCCATTAATGTTAAGAATTTTTTATTTTTTTATTTGGTCTTAGACTTGAAATTCATAAACGGATCGATGTATAGTCTTAAATTTAATTTTTTTTTTCGCATATTTTATTGCATTAGAACCATCTCCTTATATGATTTTAAATAATATGAAATTATTGTTGCTTTTGTAATATGGCCTATTAAAAACAATTGCCTAAAAATATTTTGTCAAAATACATTACCTTAAGTTAAATGGATAATAGAGAGTTAGTAGAATTATATTAACTATAGAACTTCTGTGAACGGAAATTAAATTCAAGTTTAACTATAGTTTAATCTAACATGAGCTTGCTGTATGTTGTAACTTTACAAGAAAAACATCAAATATTCTCGATTGTGTTTCAGTAGAACTTAATTACGTTCACTGTCTCACTGAGCTTTTTTCGTAGAGTTATGTTAAATGTGATTTCAATCAAGTACTTGTTAATGTCAGTTAAGAGGAATATTGATGATCTTCAACTACATTTTTAATTAACATGTCATCGGATTTTCATATATCGAAAATGAGAAT